TTGGTACCATCGACGGCAAACACATCCGCGTGTGTAATCCTGCAAACAGTGGCTCACTTTGTTTTAATTATAAAGCCTTCTTTTCGATTGTGTTGCTAGCTATTGTGGATTCAAATTATAAATTCATTTTTGTGGACATCGGTGCATACGGAAAAGAATGCGATTCAACCGTGTTTCAAAATTCTAAACTGTACGAGCTAATGATTAACAACAACTTACCACTATCTCATCCCCAGCCACTCTCTGATTTCAATACACCAACCCGGTATGTATTTGTGGGTGACGAAGCTTTTGGACTGAGCAAAAATATTATGCGTCCATATGGTGGTCAAAATCTCGACTTACAACAAAAGGTTTTCAATTATCGTCTAAGCAGGGCCAGAAGATATGTCGAATTTTTCACAGACCGATAGACGTGTCCTATAACTTCGCTACTGACATAATAAAAGCATGTTGTGTACTACACAATTTTGTCGCTGATCGAGATGGTATTAGACAAAGAGATAAATTTGCTATAAGTGTTGATGAATTTCTCCCAATACAACCCGCAGATGAAGAACAGACAGCACCGAATGTCATAAGACAGCATTTTGCGACCTATTTTATAACTAGAGGAACTCTGCCTTGTCAGCTAAATAAGGTATAATACTATTTATTAAAAAAAAACAATAAATATGTATACTATAAACTCATCAACTTTGTTTTTTCGTTCAGGTGTGAAATTCTCGTAATCAGGAAATAAAACTTTTGATATTTGTTCCCAAGCTTTTGTTTTTAAATTTTTATTTTTAAAATCTACGTGTGACTTGTCCCATATAATTTCCCTTTCCTGAATCAATGTAATGAAGTAATCCATGTCAATTTCTTCAATGGTACTCATTTTACCCTGCAAATAAAACTGAATACAAAAGTACGTAAAAAATGAAATGAGCTTGCGTGTATCCTCCCTATCAACGCACAAGCAACTGAGCGCTGCCGCTGCGACGTCGCAATGAGTACACCCCCTCCCGCTTCGTCTCGGGGGCTGCTGTCCGTCATGTGTGCGTTGCGCCGACGCAGCGCGGTGTGTGAACACCTTGGTTATTTGTATGTAAAACAACGCAACGTCAGCGCTGCGTCGACGCAACGCTTACGCAACGCGCCGTGTGGTCGGGACCATAATCAATGCGGGTTCTGGTTCTTTCTATAATTTGTTTGAGACGAGGGCAAGTGTTAGATGTGGCTCCGTGGTCAGTTTTATTGTTATTCAGATTGTGTTTTTGTTTGTGTTGTTTGCAGTTGAAACATGATAGTGCTATTGTCATGTTTGACTGGGCAATTATGATATTCATGATCTGTGGAGGAACAGTGAGAGCATGTTGAATTTTCTTGTTTACAGTGTTTGATAGTGTGTCCGAGTTGTATACACTTGTAAAATTGTAGCCGGGGGACATATTCCTCCACGTGTATTCTGTTATGGTCAAGGTTGATATTACCCGTTTGTATAATAGATTTCCTCAGTGTGGGTGTAGCCATATGTACTGCATTGTATAGATTTTTATTTTTGTTATTACATTTAACGGACCATGCCCATATTAGTATGGAGCTGAAAATCAGCAATGCTATGCAATGCCCAAATTGCAGCTCTATGTCATATGATAACTTTTTAACAGTATTTATATGATATCTAGATTTAATGTCATATAAAGCACCGGTTCAAAAGATATTGGACATTATAGTCCGGCCGCTGAGTTATTACCGATTTGACACATGACGAATTGACAATACTATTGAAGTGACTGAACCAGTAACCCTAATATCATTTGGGAACAGTTTGTTTTTAAATATTCTAGTATAGTGTGTAATTAAATAAAATCAAAACAATAATAGTTAAAGACACAGGTTCTTTATTAGGTGGAGTATCCTTGATGGGCGTAGATAATTGGTCGAGGACATATCAAAATAAAACAAATTTGTTAACACTGTTACACATTTTAATGAATAGAGTAGGTACAAGATGTTTTAATAAATGACTACCTATCATTTATTAAAACAACTATTCAGACTCTGAACCAGATTCGCCAGAGCTGTCATCGCTATCAGTCACTTGTATGACAATTACATTCTCTATAATAGTGTCCACTCTTATATCGCGTTCATAATCTTCTGTTATTAGTTTTCGAGTCTTTTCGACGACCTTGACCCTATCTTCTTTCGTTATTTTGCTGCAAGCATCTTTTAATAGACCCATCATTTTATTAGTACTGAATGGCGGAGTCGTATTATTACGAGCTGCGTAACCTGTAATGTAAACATTAAATAACGTTAATTTATTACATTAAATAAACGAAATGTTACACAATTACCTACATGTAAGGGACATGAGATATTTATTTCTTAGTTATGTATCTTTTTAGTTATATGCTGAATATTGGATGTTATAATAGTACAAATTATTCATATTCATAACTTATGCGATAAAAAACAATACCTTTGATTTGTGCCCATATTAGCTCAATGGCATTGTACTGGCAGTTATAAGGCGGAATTCGAAGTACCCGATGTTCATGTGCTAGAGCTATCTTATCTACTTCATAACGGACTCTTGATGTTTTATTTTCGCGTACCAACTTTACTAAGTCAGACTTTAGCATTTCGGCAGTAGTTCGGCAGTAGTTACAATAAGTAAGTAGGTAAGTGTTTATTGTATTATTCTTCAATTACAAGTAATATATTATCTAAATATGATGCTGGTCTCGATATATTCGTCTCATGTCTAACCCAACCCAAATACCATATTATGGCCATGCCGTGGCAACAGCATCCCACTGTTCTGTTACCTCCGAGACAGTTACAACAGTAACCTAATATTACACCTAAGCAATTATTATTAGATGGTTGTGCATCAATTAAAATATATGTAAAATATTTTTGGCGAACAACATGGCGCGACTGAATTCGACCCCTTAATAAGTAAGGTCTATTTCCTCCAACCGCTGCAACCATTTCTTCAGATTGTTCTCTGTTCCAGTTCGGCACATACTTCTATTTCATATAAACCATTTTGTCGAGCATGCTCGCCATAATACGATCGTGCTTGTTTGACCTTATATGGGCCCAAAGCGAAAAGAATTAAATCAGAGTAACTAAATACGGGAAATATATTTAATCGAGCAAAGCTCCCATCGATGCGTCTAAACATGACTAATCGCCTATTTAAATTATAATTTCTTACAAATTCTGCAAAGTAATCCGGAGTATGTTGATACCTCATGGCGCTTTCTATTATGAGAGAAGCATCTGGCCGATCTTGAATTGTAGGATGAAATCTATTAATTAGTGCAGCAGCAATTTTAAAATCATTCATTAAATGCGCGTGAGCTCTATTAAAAAAAACTTCTGGCGAAATAATTTGAAATCTCTTTTAAAACGCCCGTTAACTACTTCGACAACCCCTCGTCATAAAGTTACTAATCGACTTTTATTCGCTTGAATAGTTGTTACCTGGTGTTCTCCCTCATTTAATGACTCAGGCTTCTGCACATTATAACTGCAGGCCTCCAACAGTGGGATTGCATCTTTGAACCCTCGGTCGAGTATAAATACATCTCCCTCTCTGTAAAACGATCGCATGGGCCCATTTTCATCACTAAATAAATCTTTCATAATTTCGGCATCCGTCTGAGTGGCAGCATATGGACCTATCACATCAATAATATGCCCGTCTGTACACACACACACACAAAGAAATGGTTTGACCAGGTTCAAATATTTATGTAAACTATAAGTTTCCTTTTGGTAAAAATAATTGGAACTCTTTTCAATATATATGTAAGTGCCATCACATATTGTGATTGCAGGTTTTGTTTAATCTAAGTCATTTGGATTGCCAAAAAAAGCATTTGGAATACTAAGATTTCTTCTTATGATATCTTGTCTAGTAAGATGTTGCAATCCAATATGCAATGGCACAAAATGTTCCATAAAACATGAGCGTACAATGTTCATGTGCCTTTCCATTGTTGATCGATGTATATTAAATAAAGAAGACAACCTCTTGTTGCTGTTCCCTGTCCTCATTTTAATTAAAAAGATAACCAAAGCAGTTTTTGGTGATGGTACCTGATTAAAAAAGGTAAATCATTAAATAAAATAACAAATTCGGTCACTTCGAGACCAGTCCAATAATGACATATGTGGTTGGGCATTTCTTCTACACGTTCAAAATGAAATGTGACAGTGTTTCGTTTTGTAATATCAATTGAATCTTCTAATTGATTGATAGTAAAACTTGATATTGTAAATGATTGTTCTGGTAATTCATGCCAAATATTTGAAAAGAGATGGTGTTGGCAAACACGTGCAAACCAGGGCACTTAAAAGTTGTATTCTGTAATTAACATTTTTTTAAATAAATGTTGGTATTAAATGCATGGATGCATTACCACAGTCAGCATAAATGCAGTGTCGTGTGTGGTATAGCCATTTCACGTTGAGAATCTTGTGCAGGTTGTCGGCTACCTCGCCGCCAACAATTATGACAAACTGCACAGCTATCTCTTTCATTCTGAAAATAATTATCATTGTTAAATAAAGCAATTTAAGAAAATAATAAAATACACAATCCCTTAAATAACTAAGTTCAGTAACAAAAAAATCCCCAAACCAATGGAATTTTGACGTTTATCTAAGGTAAGCATGATCCACACCTTCTGATCCTATCCTATTTATCGGAAATCCTAAATCGGAGTCATTCTCTACACACTTTCCGATGTGCTTCCTTAAAATCAGATCGGCTTTTAGCGGTTACTCTGTGCAGACGTGATTCACATGGCTCCTACGTTGTCTAAAATACAAAAGATTGTGATAGGAGTAGCAATATCAAGTACCGTCGTGGATACACGAAAAAGGAGGAAAAGAGAAGCTTATGGGCTGAAGAAATTTACAAACAGAGAAAAAGGTTTACACCTCTAACAATGATTAAGGTTTTAAGGTCTAAACATTTTCGGACGTATTTAAGGATGAACGAAGAGTGTTTTTCTCAATTACTGAGTATGGTACGCCCATTTATCCAAAAGCAAAATACTATTCTGCGAGAAGCAGTAAGTGCTCAAGAAAGATTAATAGCGACTTTGAGATTCCTTTCTTCTGGTTGTAGCTATACTGACTTGATGTTCAATACAGCTATATCTCCTCAGTTACTCTCACAAATAATACCAGAACCCTGTATAGCAATATATAAATGCTTAAAGGACTACATAAAGGTATGAAATGAAATTTCCTTTTACGTAATTATTTGTATTTATTTATTATTGTTACTTTTTTATTAATCATAATTATTACCTACCGATATTCATTGTGCTTAGAATGATTGTAGTACTTATTTTTTAGTAAAAATAATAAAGTCTTTTAAATCTCCCTGCATGTAATTAGATGTTGAGGAATGGGGCGGTGATGGAATGCTAATTACTGGAGGTTCCAAAGAATATGTACATTCTTCGTTAATAACTGTTTCTGTTGCATTACACAATGGCAATGAATTTGAAGAAATATGGTCTGAATCACTACTAGTAAATGTCGATGTTTGATATGAAGAAGTGTATGATTGCATTGTGGAAGATGGATGGTGCGCCTGTGAAGAATGAGAGGATGATGGAATGATTGTGTACCAATGGGATGATGACTGGTGCGGTTGTGGAGATGGAGAAGGTGATGGAGTGATTGTGTACTGATGGGATGGTGACTTGTGCGGTAAGTGCGGTTGTGGAGATGGAGAGGGCAGATATGTAGGTTCCAAAGTTATTTGAGAATTTATTGTTAGTTTTTTCATTTTGGCATAGAAGAGAGCATCTGATATTATTTTTTGCGCAATGGCTGATTGTTCTTCAGTTAGAACTTTGAGTTGAAGTCCAATTGATTTCCCGATTACTTCCCAGTCATTATCTTCACTACCTGTTAATATTTTTTGAGCCTGATCTAGAATTTGAGACTGCTTCGTATAGAGGTCCTGTTTTTTTTTTCTTTATTTTAGTGGGTGGAACTGCGAAACCATCGTTTTGTGTTTCATTTCCAGTAATCTGCAAATAAAATAAAATGAAATTAATTTCAGATGCCATCGACGACAGAGGAATGGATAGAAGTGAGCTCGGATTTTGAAAGCAAATGGAATTTCAATCATTGCGTAGGCGCAATCGACGGAAAACATATTGCAATTAAAAAGCCGCCAGACAGTGGATCACTTTTTTATAATTATAAGAAATTTTTTAGTGTTATTCTGTTAGCAGTAGTAAACGCTAATTATGAATTTATATACATTCACGTGGGTACAAACGGATGTGTTTCAGATAGTTCCGTGCTGCAAAAGACTAAATTCTATGAGAAGTTGATGGAAGATGGGTTAAATTTACCAAGTCCGTCAACGTTAACAAATTCAAAAATCACTGCACCTTACGTTTTTGTAGGAGATAGTGCATTCGCGCTTGATAAAAACATTATGAAACCATTTCCTCTGAAGAACATAGCTCACGATAAGCGAATATTTAATTACAGGCTCTCAAGAGCTAGAAGGGTGGTGGAAAATGCATTCGGAATTCTATCCTCTAGATTTAGACTATTTCGTCGTGCTATTTCCATAGATATAGATAACGTGAACACAATTGTCTTAACTAGTTGTGCATTACATAATTATTTATCAAGAAATAATAAAAAATACATTAATATAACATCTCTGGATATTGAAAATGAATCCGAAGCGTCATTTAAAGTAGCACAATGGCGTAAAAAGACAACCGTAAGAAACGTAGAATGGCGTGAAACACATCCTTTAGTATCTCTTCGTCCACTTAAAAATCAGCGCAATGAGCAAGGAACTGAAGTTCGACAATTATTTACAAGTTATTTTAATAATGAAGGCGTAGTTTCATTTCAAGAGCAAATGTTGTCGGTTGTACCCCAATAAAAATAATAATTTTTTGTGTTATTTTCAAAATGAACTTACACTTCCACTACTGCCAGCACCATCATCCAAGCTATCCTGACCAATTCTTTGTGAAAGATCTTTTTCATCAAGAAATGTAAGATATTCGTAGTACCAAAGCTTTGGACAGTAAATATCTTGAATTCCCGAGCCAGTTTTCATGGAATCTCTAACCTAAAACAAATAATTTAATGACGTGAGTATCGGAATTTGTATTTTTCATTTTTAGTAGACATTACGCATGAAGAGTTAGGTACTCTTCATGCGTAATGTAACTCACACAAAATAACATTAGCCTCGCCAGTTTGAAAAAAATACTCACCTTTTTTGATTCACGTTTGTACGTTGTTCTTAAATTATCAATTTTTTTTTCATATCAGCTAATGTTGCATTTTTACAAACTTGTTTGAAAACTTTTAAAAGTCTTTCATAGGACTTAGTTCTCAAGTCTCTATTTGAGTAATCTGCTGCCGAAGTGTCCCATAAGCATCTACATTCTTTGTAACACTCCAAAAATAAAACAAAATATTCGCGGTCTGACACCGAATCGCTTTCCCCGTCCGATGACATATCAATGCGCACGAGTAGGTACACGTCTGAACTGGGACGCTGGTCGTGTGTGACTGTGACGTTTTATCGGATGAATGGTTCTATACACCGTCCGATTTAGGATCCGATTTTAGAAAAAGGACGGTCGGAACATCCGATTCTCCGATTTTGTAATAATAATAATAAAATTAGGACCTGTTGCACAATACATTATCCGATTTCATCCGATAATTAGGATCGGATTGGATAGGATCAGAAGGTGTGGATCATGCTGTATGTTTAAAAAATGGATCAAATGATTTCATTTTAAAAACTATTCCACTGATATAGGTAGTAATAAGAATTATTTTCTAATATGGTATGTGTCATTACCATTAACCATATTCAATATAAGTAGTAATAGGTAAATACCTGTATTGATCTAATCCACGGAAAATATTCATAAAGTGGTTTATTTTCTTCAAGAAAGTGAAGTCTAGTTTCATTCAAAGAACAGCCACAACCAGCACAGACATAAGTATGACCTAATGTCCTAGGTGTGTTTACATCAGCATTTTGTATCAATACATAACAAGCATGACACAACACATCTTCCATAGAAAGCTGAAAATAAAACAATGGGTGTTAGTTAGTTATCACATTCCATAAAAATGATTAACTAAGTAGAGAGATATGTTATCTTACGCGTCTACGGTGAGTTAAGACCTGAAGTTCGATTGTATTAAAGAATATTTTATGTATTAAAGAATACTAAAAGTAAACAGGACGTATGCTATAATTTTATGAAGCTCCTAAAAACACGTGTACCCAAAAATCTCGTATGCTATAATTTTATGAAGCTCCTAAAAACACCTGTACCCAAAAATCTGCAAACCGACAATGGAACAGAATTTTATAATGATAAGTTTAAAAAAATATGAATTCTTTTAATATTAATAATTACTAAACCTTTTCAACAAAGAAGGTTTCTGATATGTAGATGAACAATTTATTCGAACTTTGAAATCTAAATTGTATAAAGCATTTAGTTTAAGGGGTAATTATAACTGGATAGGCGATACTCTTAATAATGTTATTTACGAATACAATCACACTTATCATCGAACTATTGGTGAAATTCCAGCCAATATTAATAATAAAAGTAGAAAACTAATACTACAGAGATACCTTAGATTGGTAAAGAATGATAATGTAAAACGTAAATTTAAAGTAGGTGATTATGTGCGTATAAGCAAATACAAAGGTACATTTGAAAAAGGATATACTCCAAATTGGTCGACAGAAATATTTAAAATTCAAAAATTACAGAACACAATTCCAACCACTTACTTAATGGAACTTAGAGGTCAACCAAATTTAGGAGGATTTTATGCACAAGAGCTACAAAAGACCAAAAATCCAAACATATATTTATTTAACTGCTCCGTGGCACAGTGGCTTAGCAATGAGTTGCTGCGCTGGGGGCGCGGGTTCGAATCCCGCACGAAACGAATATTTGTATGGCCTACAAATAATTGTTCCGGGTCTGGATGTTTGTCCTTGTGAAATTTGTGCTTGTAAACTGCCTCCACGATACAGGAGAAAAACCTAGTGTTTTTAAAAAAAAATTTTATTCGAAATAGTTTTAAGAAGGAAAGGAAATAAAGTGTTAGTAAAATGGCTAGGTTTGTCTTCTACTGAAAACAGTTGGATCGATAAGTCAAATATATTGTAATAGACTTGCTGACCATTGTGTTTAACATTAAGAACAAATAAGAAAAATGGTATATTTAATAAATATCCCTAGCGCGATCAAACAGTCTTATGGTATGCATTAGTGAGAATAGTCTTCTCAATTGGTTGATTAATAATTTACCATTTGAATCACATTTACCAGGATACAGTTATTGTGGTCCTGGTACAAATTTAATCAAAAAACTATCACGCGGAGTCAAAGGTATAAACAAATTAGACGAATATTGTAAAGAACACGACATTGCGTATCACAAATCTGCAAACTTAAAGGATAAGGCGGATTTAGTTTTGTTAAAAATGGCAAAAACACGAGAGATTGCTCCCGATGCAAATTTGGGAGAAAAGTTAGCAGCAAATATAGTAAGCAAAGTTATGCAATCAAAAATTAAAATTGGGGCTGGCCTAAATAATGGCTGTAGTATAGTGGGTAGATTGATATTTTCGCCTTCCTCTTGGCCTTGCGTAAAAAACTTAAACCGGGATAACGTGACATTAGGTTTTGTCCCAAAATACTTATCAAACTTTTTCAACAAACACTTAATATCGTCTTCAGTTTCTTCCTTGAGGCTTTAAGAAACACCTCAAATTGTTTCTGCCACTTGCGCCATGAGTCTGCTCGAGCAGCGGGGCCGCCTTCGCACACTAATTCTACGGGAGGTCTAGTTGATAATTCTGTTATAAAACTTCCTCGCATTATTCCTATACCAAAAACTGGTGGGTATTACCTTTGATACCGATTTTTGCTGGATTATCGGCTACGGGAGCCTTAGCAGGTGGTGCAGCTGGTATACTTAAAACTATAAATAAAATAAAAATGGCTAATAACAATTTGCTGAATTGAAAAGACACAATGAAACAATGGAAGCTCTTTGTATCGGAAATGGGTTACAGTTTAAATCTCATAAAAATGGATTTGGCATTTTTGTATCTAAATAAAAAAAAAAAAAACTAGAATATAGGCTACCCAAACGTGCTTTAACTAACATTGACATTTTAAAGTATGGAAAAATATTCCCTGTTTTCGAGGTGTCTCTACGAGAGATGAGCTCCCAATACACCCTTTTAAAAAAGAATGTGGAGTTATAAATCTAGATATTTCCTCAAATCCCGGATCTCATTGGGTAGCCTTTTTATTTATTTTTTACTTATCTTCACGCATAATTCCTGACGGGGTAGCCAGAGAGAACAGATCGCTAAGTGTCACGATCCTTACAAACCTCTTTTGCTTCTTTCAGATTCATTATCTTCTTCATACATGCACGTCTAGGTATCCGAGTACTCTTGACCCTCCCATTTTCGAGCAATTTGCTCACATGGTCTTCGAAAGTTAGTCTCGGTCTACCTCGACACCTTTTAATATTAACTTTCGCGCTATATATTTTCTTCACCATTCGGTCTTCACTCATTCGCTTAACGTGCCCAAACCATAGAAGCACGCCCTTATCAATTTTTGTGATAAGGTCATCTTTCAAACCTGCCATATTGCGAATCTCTTCGTTTCGCTTTCGGTCGGCCATAGTAACGCCGCACATTTTACGAAGAAATCGCACCTCCATTGCATTCAACGTGCTTTTATGCTCCTTATGGCATACCCAGGTTTTGCTGCCATATAACCATAGATAAATATATATGATGTAGCAAGCTACAGATACGACAGTGACTTTTAGTCAAGTTTCCCAACTATGCCTTTTGGCGCTGCAGTCGCCCATATTGACAGATGAGTGATAAAAAAAAATATAGCTTAGGGATTGCAAGCACACATACTTCAAATCATCGATATCGATATTTAGCGATGTTCTTATTTTATCGATATCAACGTAACGACGCATTATATAGTTATATTAAAATATTACTTAATGAAACAATTTTGGTACATAAACATTTATTTTTTATTCAAGCACACCAATATCATATACATAAACACGTAATCTTAGGATTAAATTAAAAGTACATTGGGTTATATTAAAAATGTACATAACATTGTATATAGGCAGAATTTGACGAAAACAGAGCAATATTTATTGTTCATTAGATAAAGCAAATAGCAAATTAAAGAAATTAAACCACAGGAATCATATTTAATCATAGTGTAAGTAATATTTTACTTTACAAGTTACTTTTTATATTAATTTTAAAACAGCTACAATTCAAATGGTTATGAATTAAGTGAGTACCTTCCCTGTATAAGATAAAGAACTTTTCGCTAGGGTATGCCAAATTATTATTTGGTCTATATAACATTTGTCTGTTAGGCAAGACAAACATTTTTTCTAAGTTTGTAGTGTTTGGAGCTTTGTTTCATTAGTAGGCATCCTATTAATTTTTCATTTAGGGTAAACCTGGCCATTTTTTAAATTGTTTTAATTACATTAATAATAAAGTTATTTGTTTAACATTCAACTTCTCTATATTTTGACAGAGATTGGACATTAAGCAAGCTTTTGTGAGGCTTAGTCACCTAAAGATTCAGTTACAATCTTTGTCAAAATTTCAATATTTTATTATTGCCAATTTTATATACCAATTGTGCCCGTGTAACCTTATTAAAATATTGATGAAAGTTTTTTTACAATTAAGGCATGTTTGTTATATCCTAGCCAGGAAAAACTCAAAGTGCTCAATATTTTACTTTTAACATTACTTCTGATACAGCTATAATTCAAATACTTATGAATAAAGTGAGTATCATCCCTGTACAAGTTAAGTAATTTTTCGTTAGGGTATGCCAAATTATTATTTTTCAACAATTTATGCTCTAGATTTTATGTAAGAGTGAATATTTGTCTCTGTACTGCTGTTTTGATGCAATCCTTACAAGGAATACCTTTCGATATTTTCCGACAAATGTATCCAGCAGTATAAGCTGAGTATTCAATTTTTTCCATGACTACATCACCCACAAGCAATTTTTCTCTTGAAGTTGCTTGTGAAGAGGACAGGAGAGCTAGCAAAACATTAGGAGTGTTTTCAGAGTAATTTTCTTTATTATTATGAACATTTTTGAACAGACCGCTAACATTTAATAATGTGTCTCCATAATCCTCTTCGCAATTAGAGAATTTCAAATGTGGACTAACCATGTTAGATAATATCAGATATTTAAAGGCATATATATATATATATATATATATATATATATGTTTGCATCTAGGTCAACATTTCTATAATCTATAACTATTATACATTCAAAAATAAATTTCTAAAGGGTCTTGGCTAATATTTTTGTGATAATAATATTCTACATTATACTGTTCAAATAATAATTATCAACAAGTTTACAGTAACAAGTTATCCTTCCTTGTTGGGATGGCCCTCGCACAAGTCGAGGTTTTCCTACTTGGATAGCATGTTTGCTACTATATAGCATGGTGTCTACAAAAATCATTTTTTTTTAATTTTATTAATGGCTTCAATCCAAAAAGTGTGATGTTGTAAATTTTGTTTAACCACTTGTCTTAACTTTCCTCTTTGCATACCAACCGGGTAGCCATTGACATTGTCAGTGTGTCGAAAAATTCAACAACTTCTGCTGTTGAGGCCATTGTTACGTCAGAGTTTGCATAATGAAAATAATCTGAAAAAAAAAATTATTTTTAATTTAATTACTTTTACAGCTATTGCACCTGCAAGTATTTCACCAAAAGACATTTCCTATTTGCTTACAACAGACTTTGTTAACCTTTATACAATTGTAGTGTGGCTCACGGTATCCACTAATGTAATATCAATTATAAATTAAATGTAGTAATAAACAGCACTTGGCAGATACAGGTTGTCTCATTTAATAACGTCCATTACATGGCGACCTTGAGAGGCGAGCTGGCCACCGATAGTAATAAACTCATAATAAATATAAGACCTAATAAATACACACATTACCAAAATGAGGAAAATATTACATAGTGCCATAAAAAGTTTTGGGAACAAGTTGTAAATAAATATTTATAAAATAAAGTAAAAAATATAAAATAATGAGGCAAAGAGACAGCTAAGAAGACTTGAGACGAGAAAAGAGGATTCCTTTTTAATAGGATAAGGGTGACAAATGAGCACACAGTCCACCTGATGGAAGGTGGTTGCTGTGGCCCATAGATATTTATATCTATCCTTGATTACTAATCAAAATGCAGATGCGTTGTCACCCGTGAGGACTAAAATGGAATGCCTCATTTCCAGTAAAAAGGGTCTCCGGTTCTCTACACTCACCATACGAAACAACAGCATTAAGCTGCTATTTTACGCTGGTATTCTGTGAAAGCGTGGTCCTTCCCTGGTCGAGCCGAACCATTCGTGCTACAACTAAACCACTAATATAGCTGCAGCATGGCTCTACCGCTTAAAAAATTGATGACAGAGATTACTTTTTTTTACTCAGGTTTAAAAGAATATTGGTTGAGAAGATATAAATTGAAGTACACAGTGGTATTCACATAGGGAATTTTAACATTATCAAACCAACCGTGGAGTAAAACAAATAAGAACACAATTATAAATTATGTTTCTAAAAAATTCTCGAGAATTTAATCAAGTGATCAGTTTTAGGAGAACTGAATTTTTGTGTTTTATCTATAAGAAAACAGGAAAAATGTTAATTTCAATCTTTTACCATTACTCATTTTATAGATGGAAAACTATTAACACAAAGGAAGTGCTACTTGTATATTCATATCCTTATTATTTAAGCTTCATTATTTTGATATCAATGTGTAATGAAAAGTAAATTATGTGATTTATTACATAATATTTTTTTAAGGTCGAAGATTATTTTATAGTATATTTTAAGTGGCTTAGAATATTCCATAAAGAAATACAATTTTGTTTCTAAAATTTGTAAACCATTTCACATTTTGAATAACTCCCAGATCTAGGTACAATTTAAATTAGAAAAGTTAAGTTCCATCTGTATAGGATTTCTCTGTACAAAACATTAATTTGATATAGTAATTAATTGTAATTCTATACCTGATTTACCTAGTATTA